CTTCTTATATATATATATATATATATATATGTGTGTGTACGATAGGGTTCCACTGGAAATAAATTTTCGAATAAGGGTCCCCTGATCACATAAAAGTTGAGAACTCCTTACCTAGAAAAAAGCGTGTACAAGCGTTCTGTAGTAGGGAAGAATTACTATAAATAAACCAACAGATAAGAATGAATTGAAAAACGTCTACAGATATCAATGTAACAGAAAAGTAATGCCCATATTTTGTAGAAACAATTAAGTAATATAATAACGTAGCTCGAAATCTCAGATATTCGTCTACAAAATATAGAAGATCAAGGAAGGACCTGTACAAATCAATGTCTAACGAAAATCAGTCTGGATGATGTTTATAATTTCGGAAAATGTAAAATATAGAACATGTACTAAGACTGTGGTGTGTAACAAACAACAGACAGCGTGCTGACTTTCCTGTAAATGTTTTGTGCGAAAAGAAAATACAGCTAACTAATGAAAGTTTACTTCCAACCAATATATTAAAAAACAGCAACAAGAATAATCATGATATCCAAACACTCTAAAAAACCAATCGTTGACGCAATTGTCCCAAGTATTAAACATGTGAAGTATTCCTAAGTAATGTTGGATATACCCTGACATGAATCACCAATACAAACTGTCGGTAGTTTTAATAACAGTTAATATCCGAGAGATGGAGCTAAATGATGGAGATGATTTCATTTTCTTCATTAATGTCGAGAAGGTAATAGATTATGCTCTATCAGAAGTCCTTCTTGAAGAGCTTAACCAACATGGAATATTTCTTAAAGTATTATCGTAGCGTGAAAATCAGAAGCTACCACCAGGATGTTTTATTATAATAACATAAATACCAGAAGCTAACACCAGGGTGTTTTATCATCATAACATAAATACCAGAAGCTAACACCAGGGTGTTTTATTATCATAACATAAATATCAGAAGCTACTACCAGAGTGTTTTATTATCATAACATAAATATCAGAAGCTAACACCAGGGTGTTTTATTGCCATAGCGCAAATATCAGAAACTAGTACCAGAGCGTTTTTTTTCTAGCAAAGCGCAAATATCAGAAGCTACCAACAGGGTATTTTTTATCATAGCATAAATATCAGAAGCTAACACCAGATTGTGCAATATTGGATGTTGTAAGTAAATATAATAGCATTTTGCATTCCCTGTGACTGTCACTCTTTTAAATTTGCACTGTATGATGCTGCAAATTCTTTCAATTTCTCAAAACTTTTTCCGATTTTTCTCAAAGAATGTATACTATTTATGCGGCTTGTTTGTTTGTTTGTTTTTTGAATTTCGCGCAAAGCTACACGAGGGCTTTCTGCGCTAGCCGTCCCTAATTTAGCAGTGTAAGACTAGAGGGAAGGCAGCTAGTCATCACCACCCACCGCCAACTCTTGGGCTACTCTTTTACCAACGAATAGTGGGATTGGACGTCACATTATAACGCCCCCGCGGCTGAAAGGGCGAGCATGTTTGGTGAGACGGGGATTCGAACCCGCGACCCTGAGATTTCGAGTCGAGTGCCCTAACCACCTGGCCATGCCGGGCCATTTATGCGGCATTAACTAACAAATAGGATATATTGAAGTCTTTTCTTCGTTAATGTCGCTCTCGTAGTTCTGTTTGAACCTAGATGTCAGTTTAAAACTGAAAGTGTAAAAGCGGCAAAATCAATATTACTGCCAAGGATTGGATTGGGAGTAAAATAGAAACGAAAATTATGTTGGCCGCATTAGCGAAATTGAAGGAAATTATAAATAATAATTCAGCTTATTCAGAAACTGGACCATTAGTAGATGAACTACGAAACATGGAGTTTTCTATTTTCCCATAATGATTTAGTATCATGTGCTTCTACAAATAAACCTAGTGCGTAAAGAAATGCAGATTTGATATTGCCCCCTCTACAGTGGCTCAGCAGCATTTACGAGGGCCCAAATCTCTAAAAACCGGGTTTCGATACCCATGATGGGCACAGCGCAGATAGTCCAATGTGTAGCTTTATACTTAAAAATACAAACAAACAACGATATATCCAGTAACTTAGTCAGTGACCAAGTTAAAAGAGTTAACAAACTGACAGAAGAGTTATCAGTTGCTCTTACGAAAGAAGTACATTACTAATTACGAATAAATGTTGCACAACAACGGGTCAAAAACAAATTTTCGCAAGTACCTCCCCCTCCTCCCAAATGAAGAAAACTGACCCATCTCACTCATAACAACCACAAAAATAAAAATAAATGCTGCGTTTAATAACGGAACTTAAATAACTTAAATCATAATTTAAATGTTCCCGGTATGGATCGGGAAGGCTGTGATTTAAGTGCAAGTTGGGCATTTACGACAATGATGCAAAAGAACACGGTACTAGTATGGAATAAGACAGCCCAATGGAATTGGACTGTCGTACCCTAAATCACTCATCGTAAAGCAATTGCACGTTATAAAAAAATTGGTGAACTTGTACTGTTTCTTTTACAACATATTCGGATGTCTATAACAACTCATACTTAGAAATCAACAAAGTGAAAATTTCTAGGATATTTACTTTGTAATCACAAAAAATTCAAAGTGTTTACCTGAAATTAAAGTTACTCAAAACCAAAGAATTGAAATCGCACTTTCATCATTCACATTCGCGCCCGTCCACCATTATATTTATGCACGGGGTCACTTGACCAATAGTAGCATATAATCAACTCTGGAAAGCAGCACGTCATAATTGACCTTATACGTGGGTGACCGTTTTACCAAAGGGGTCGTCTTACCCTAATTTCACCTACAAATACCAACTTGTTCTAATGTTGACCAAAATGAACTAGGAAAATCATTCATGGATTGATCTGAAGCAAGGAGTTAATCAGGTGTTGACGGTGTTGATTTAAAGCTTAAACTTTTAATTCTATAATTCTCCCAGAGACGCTCTTGTTCCACTGCAAAAAATGCTTTAGTACCAGTATATCTCAATAGGTGCATTACACTCAGAGAGCTACTTACAGCTCCAGTGACTTTTTCATATGCTGTAAGAAGTTTAAATTAAGTAAAGCCTATTAGCGATTGTCCATGTCTCAGGAGCGTTTTACTGGATTGAACACATTCTTCAAATGATGATGCAAGAAGGTTGAATTTCCAGAAATATATTGACAAGTAAATATGTAACATGAGCAACTAAAAAGTAAATTGTTGCACGTAATTAACTATCATAAACAGCATATGAATGCGAACATTTAAATGATTAAATGTAATGATTGCTAGAACTTGATTCGTTGTTAGTGTTTTACTCGGTTACAAATCACAACTCACCTAGCAAATGAAAGATGTAATGATTGCTAGAACTTGATTCGTTGTTAGTGTTTTACTCGGTTACAAATCACAACTCACCTAGCAAATGAAAGATGTAATGATTGCTAGAACTTGATTCGTTGTTAGTGTTTTACTCGGTTACAAATCACAACTCACCTAGCAAATGAAAGATGTAATGATTGCTAGAACTTGATTCGTTGTTAGTGTTTTACTCGGTTACAAATCACAACTCACCTAGCAAATGAAAGATGTAATGATTGCTAGAACTTGATTCGTTGTTAGTGTTTTACTCGGTTACAAATCACAACTCACCTAGCAAATGAAAGATGTAATGATTGCTAGAACTTGATTCGTTGTTAGTGTTTTACTCGGTTACAAAAATGAAACGCATCTGCCAAGTGAAAAATGTAATAATATATAATACTGACAATAAATTGAGTTCTAACAATCATTGTATCTTTTACTTGGAAGATAACCTGTATTTTGTAACCGAATAAAATACTAACAAAACACAACTCACCTGCCATGTAAAAGGTGTTACGATAGATAG